CCGCTGCCAGTGTCTCTCTTTCCCAAACAAAAGGAAATGATATTAATTTGATTGACCGTTCTCAAATGCAAAATGATACCGAGAATGAAATCGGTCGCTCGCTTTTCCCATTCATTTACAATTGTAATACTAATAGATTAAGAAGAACTACCCCAAGGCAGCTGTACTCGGCAATGAAGATTCAATAAACTTCAGCTTGTTCAATAAGTAATAACTACCACCCTTGTCCCTTACCCCGAAATACTAGGTATCGACCCGAACGCAACCCAAAGAGATTTTTACAGCATCTGATTGACATGTAATCAATCGAAAATTATTACAATTCGTAAGCCGTGAATGAATGGGAAAAGCGAGCGACCGATTTCATTCTCGGTATCATTTTGCATTTGAGAACGGTCAATCAAATTAATATCATTTCCTTTTGTTTGGGAAAGAGAGACACTGGCAGCGGTCCACTCTACCCATGATTATGGGTTTTGGTAAAATATATATATGTATATATGTATAGACGCTTTGGCAGTCAATTGTAGCCTACATTTAAGTGTCCGTAGATTCGAAAGTATAAAAGATACAGTCATCTCGAACCACAGGTTTTAAAGATAATCGTTGAAGCTTTAGTTTACATTGTATTGAAAAATAATTTAACGTCATCATCATCACTTGATGACGTCATCAAATTAAGTGTTTTTAAAACTTGATTTTTAACAAAGTAACAACTTTTCAAATCGATTTTACACCATTAAGGAGTCATTTTATTCAAAATCTGAGGACATTCTACCTTAGATAATTGTTCAAGCATTCCGAAAATCTACCGGAAAAGTTTTCTACCTTGCTCCTTCATAAAGATATTTGCTATTGAAGTTAGCGCTTTTTTGAAGAATAATTTTATAAAAACACAAAAGTTGTGAATTAGTATTCTCTGGTGTTGGGCCATCCCTTGGGTTGTGGAGCTCAATTTTGCTTCTTAAAGGTGTAAATTGTGTTATAGGCTAGTTTTAAAGTTAAAAATCTAAAAGTTGCACACGTGGGGACACGCCCAAATTGATTTAAAATAGCTAAAATCACTAAATATTTTGATTTTCACGATTTTTATCAACTTTGGAGTCCCGTTGTGATCCAAGTTCTTTTTGAAATCTTCTGAAACTTTGCATGCTTATCAAACTATATATTAAATACCACTATGCAAAAATTTACGGTGATTCAATATTGTATGCGCACGCAACGTCCGCTCAAAGTTTGCACGTGCGAAAGGTGAGAATTTTGCTCATTCGTGATTTCGAATATATTCTGCTTTCCACGATATTTAAATGGCATTATATATGAATTTAATGCCAACTTGAATGAGTAAAAAGTGCCATATTCAGTCGTTTATCGACAGATATACCTACCTAAACACAAGGAAATGTTTTCAAAGGCAGAATTTCGAAATCGTTGAAATTACCTCCTTATTAATGAAGTTTCGAATGTGTAAATTATCCTGACATTAAAATCAAAAAGAGATGATATTTGACCAAAACCCATAATCATGGGTAGAGTGAACCGCTGCCAGTGTCTCTCTTTTCCAAACAAAAGGAAATGATATTAATTTGAGGAACCGTCCGCAAATGCAAATTGATACCGAGAATGAAATCTGTCGCTCGCTTTTCCCATTTAATAATGAATTAGCTTTATTACAATTCGTAAGCCGTGAATGAATGGGAAAAGCGAGCGACCGATTTCATTCTCGGTATCAATTTGCATTTGCGGACGGTTCCTCAAATTAATATCATTTCCTTTTGTTTGGAAAAGAGAGACACTGGCAGCGGTTCACTCTACCCATGATTATGGGTTTTGGTCAAATGATTATATACTTTAATTTCGGATCGAGTGAAGCGAGTGATACACATTACTTTAATTAAACTCATGCTGATCACAATACAGTACAGGGAAGTGGGTAACACGGCTTGCAGTCGCAGCTGCAGCTCCTCGCTGGCGGTAATATTTCAATTAAATGAACAAGAATTAAGAAAAAGAGAATTTAAGAAAAAAAGAATTTTATTTGCCATAGAATAATCAATACTTGATTGACGATGTCAATCCGTCGAGATCGTTGCTCTGCGAAGCAAAGCAACGATCGTCGTTCGATGCGATAGTAGAGGCTCTTACGGGCAAAAAGACGTGTTTTCTGCTACAAGTTTAGAAACCTAACCGCTAATTGGACACAATAGTATGATGTCTAAGGATCGATAATATGTTAAGAAGTATAAATTTGGCCTTATTAGTCACGTGCTATACCAATGCGCGTTTTAAACTTTGACAGTCTATTACTCTAAGGCAAATAGAGAAATTATATTCATATTTTGTCAGCAATAAGATCACATTGTTTTCTATTTGGTGTGAAAATATGAGCTAGAACGGACATAATCTCGCTGAGTTATAGCTGTTTGAAATTTATGATGAACGCGTGGGTGCCAATTGATAACAACTAAATGCTTTTGCGCGTAGTGCGCGTCGAAAATTTGGCAAAAACGCTTGCGGAGTGACAATATTCAAACTTCGATAAAGTATATGAAGTGGATACTTCTCGGAAAGGAAAAATTTAGGCAAACACGATGTGACTATTTTTGGGTTGATTTAATACAACTGCAAAAAATTATTCAAACTTCAAGCAAAAAAGTCAAAATTTTTACCACTTTTTTTGGGTTTTTGCCTGCACTAAAATAGAGGGATTTTTAAAATTTTTTAACCATCTTGTGCGGCTGTCTTTTAGCTACCTTCATGCAAATTTTGCCGACATGCCAACAAAATTAACTTGCTCAAATTATCAAAAAACATGCTTTTTTGGCCTATTTTTGGCCCCAAAATCGGTTTTTTTGCAATTTTAACGGTGCTAACTCAGTCCAATCATTTTTAAACTACTTTTAATCGATTCTACGGTTAAAAATACGTCTAGTAAGGTGTATCTGGGGTCCCTAGCGTATCGAGCAGACAATGCCCGTAAGAGCCTCTACTAACCAGGTGTAGTAGAGGCTCTTACGGGCAAAAAGACGTGTTTTCTGCTACGAGTTTAGAGACCTAACCGCTAATTGGACACAATAGTATGATGTCTAAGGATCGATAATATGTTAAGAAGTATAAATTTGGCCTTATTAGTCACGTGCTATACCAATGCGCGTTTTAAACTTTGACAGTCTATTACTCTAAGGCAAATAAAGTAATTATATTCATATTTTGTCAGCAATAAGATCACATTGTTTTCTATTTGGTGTGAAAATATGAGCTAAAACAGACATAATCTCGAGTTATAGCTGTTTGAAATTTATGATGAACGCGCGGATGCCAATTGATAACAACTAAATGCTTTTGCGCGTAGTGCGCGTCGAAAATTTGGCAAAAACGCTTGTGGAGGGACAATATTCAAACTTCGATAAAGTATATGAAGTGGGTACTTCTCGGAAAGGAAAAATTTAGGCAAACACGATGTGACTATTTTTGGGTTGATTTAATACAACTGCAAAAAATTATTCAAACTTCAAGCAAAAAAGTCAAAATTTTTACCACTTTTTTGGATTTTTACCCCCAAAAAAATAGAGGGATTTTTCAAATTTTTAAACCATCTTGTGCGGCTGTGTTTTAGCTATCTCCATGCAAGTTTTGCCGACATGCCAACAAAATTAACTTGTTCAAAATATCAAAAAACATGGTTTTTTGGCCTATTTTTTGCCCAAAAATCGGTTTTTTGCGATTTTACCCCCAAAAAGTCAGTCCAATCATCTTAAAACCACTTTTAATCGATTCTACGGTCAAAAATACGTCTAGTAAGGTGTATCTGGGGTCCGTAGCGTATCGAGCAGACAATGCCCGTAAGAGCCTCTACTAGTGCTTTCGCGCCGCTGCGGGCGCGCTTGTTCCACCCAGCAAACCCTACCAGCCGGGGAATATCTCCAAAAGTAAAATAGATAGAACCTTCCGGTTTTCAACAAAATGTCCGTCTCGTAAATTTAAAGGAGGCTCCCCAGGAGCACAATTTGGGACAACTTAGATTCTGAATTAAACCGAAAAGTTTGATTTTTGGCTAAATAAAAGGTCACAGCTTTTAAACTTTGCAAAGTCATGTCGTTGTCATGACTACTAAACTAAATGCAGCGTGCGAAAGGTAAACTCGATGTGACGCGCGACGCCAAACGTGCTGTTGAAAATCTATCACCTCTAGCAAGCCCAGCAGGCGGTAAGGTTTTCTGGGTAGATTGTAGTATGATTATTGTGGGCATCGTTCTAGCTTAAAAGGTGATGGAGTTTGTAACAGTAAAGAGAACAGTAAAACCAATTTTAAACTTGATACTGCAAGAAAAGAGGGTACATGATGTGCTAAATTAAATTTTTGCGGCGCGGTGTGGTCGTAAAACTAAAAAGCACTACACTACTTACGGAACTAAACGGAAGTATAATATTAGTACCCGAAATCCGAATTTGAATGCAAAGTAATCTGTAATAGTAATACTAATATGGAATACTACGCAAACCTTATTTGTTATTGGATTATTGACTAATATCAGTTAAATTTTTTTAATTAACTAATCTACAGCTCCGAACACTGATAATAATGAATAATTTCATCCATAATAATTAGTTAAAATACTAATTATATTCAATTATAATTAGTTAAAATACTGATAATATTCAATTATAATTAGTTAAAATACTCATAATAATAATTATTAATAACCAAACATCTGTGTATAGTAATACACACACTCCCCAATGGTACAACTACACCAGAATCCACATCTATTATTAGTAACATTCTGCATGCTATTTAACATACTCCTCAACACCATGTTTACATGATACCAAATTTGCTCATATAAAATAAATTTAATAATCAAAATAAATTCACTTGTCAATTAGTCCTTTTTGAGTCCAATCAACAGTTTGATAGTAAGTATAGTTTCATGATATAGTTTGAGCTGCTGTTGATGAGGTAGCATCTGCCTTACGGCTTACTCAACACATCGTAATTAACTTTAAGCTCAAGGTTGTCTCCCTACCGCTCACACAATTCTTGAGTTCTTGGTGTTTACACTGATTCCTGTTTAATTCCTGAGTCTTCCTATTAGCGCCTTTCTGGACAGTATGGGAATATTGTGTGTTAAGCTCACAAATTTCAAGAGATCAGAGTTGAGGGATCAGTTTCTATCGTATGATCAATACATTTTATTACAGCTTTTTAATTTTCAATCTTACCTGTAATATACGACTATAGCTGCCCCAATTGCCAATAAAATCGCTACAACGATACCAATGTACAGACCAGTGAGGCTTTTTCCTTTTTTTCTTTCTGCACAAGATTTTGGGTAAGAATAATAATTTCGGCTGTGAAAAGTTCGGTCAGTTTTTTAACTGTTGGCCGAAAAATGGATTTTATGAATCAATTTGAGAACAGTGAAAAAATTTGAATTTTTCCGTTCACTTTTTTGACCAGTATTAAAAATAAGAAATTAAAAATTGGCCAAGGATTTAAAACTTTAAGTCCCGAAATTTGGATTCCCAAGTGGTGCAAAAATCACACAACAAATAAATTTCTGACACCACTTTAGGGTTCGACTTAGGGTTATCAGCTTGCTTATCTCGCCTAGTTTAACGGCGAGATTACTGTGTGTGCTGATAGCTTTTAAGCCATGGCTACAGCTGTTAACGACAAGGAGTTGTCAGTTGGAGGGTCTGCTCGGGAAATTCTCTGCTTGGATACCTAAAGCGATGGAACAAGTCGGGTGCACTGCTCCAGTTGACGTGACGTCAGCAGTGTGTAAACGTGCGATGAAGGACACTTTGGTATTATTGTTTTCTGAATCGTTCCACTGTGCGGTTTCGGGCGGAAAAAATGAATCAGCTGAAGGCTGAGCTGAGCTCCATCAAGAGCCAGCTAATAGTTATCGAGAATCAGACGTGGCGGTAATCAGCTAATTAGTATTACAGGAGCAGGTTGTCCACAACATGAAGGACAAGCAGCTCGACGCAGTATGAGTAAAGACTGTGGTCAAGTCTTCATTGGAGAGCAACTTGAAAGAACAGTTCAAGTCATACAGTGAAGCTGCTGCGGAGAACGTTATGGTCTGCCAGACTCGCTCAGCCTGTCATTCCGCCGAATTTATATTCTATGTTTATGAACATAATAGCCTGCAGGGTCCCCAGGTAACATCCAGGTCCCAGGAGGAGGATCGGAGCAGGAACGTTGTATTATTTGCCATTTGGACTGCCAGAACAGAAGGACGAGAATGTTTAAGAGCGGGTACAGGAGATATTCCAGGAGATAGGACTAAAAGTAAAACCTACTCTGCAGGCTACCATGATAGTAGGAAAGATTCGTAAAGAGAATTCGAAGCGCCCAGTCAAGGTTTCGTTATCAAGTCACAGCGCTGTCCATCAAATATTATAAATTATTCACTATCATTTTATATGTTTTAATTGGTCATTAGAACCGCCGTCCGCCTGGTACCGTCCAGCTTTCAATGACAATCAATGAAGTACCATATTTAGTAGTACCATATTTAGTAGTACCATATTTTGTAGTACCATATGTTTGGTTATAAATTATAAAAGCATGATATTGAAACTTTTGAAGAAATTACTCGAATTGCAACACCAGCTCACAAACACAAGAACAGGTGATTACTATTCTTACCAATATGAATGACCGTATCGGAATCAGCATCAAACTCCATCCTACCGAGATAATTGATCCGGGATCTCCATTCAGCCCCAGAACAATCATAAAACGGAATCTTTATTTCTACAGCCAAAGGCACGCCCCGGTAGTCAATCAAAGGCAAGTTTACAAGAGCGTCCCTTTCTTTTTCTGTCCACACTTTATTTGTTAGTTTCACTGTGTAAAAGATGGTTAGTGCTTTTGTCTCATTGTTCCAGCGACAACCAGTTTTCCCTCTTACATCCACTAACGTGCATTCTGAAGAGATGTTAATGCAGTATCCGAACATACAATACCTATGAAATTGAATACAACATCACAGATTTATTACTATGAATTAATATCGCTATAATTGTCTTTTAAAATGTGTAAACGTTATTTGAATTGCACATACGTAGATAGAAAATATTTTTATCATAAACAGAATACAGATCTAAAATTGACCATGGAAAAAGAAATAATTATTACATGAAAGCTAAGACAATCATAACTTTGTTGTCAGCACAATTATGTAAACAATGTAAATACCGTTAGTTTTAAGACATGGTACCACTATGTGAGTACCACATTTATCTGATCTTGTAACTAAATTTTTCCATATTTGCGTTGAAGAGTAGTAGTAGTCTTCATTAGTGTCTTCATATTCGCAAACCTATTTATATAGAATTAAAGCGTTTTAATGAAGGTGATATAGGTTTAAAACATTTTAGAAATGTAATTAGAATATGGGTCACGAAATCCTCTCCGAACCTCCACGTGGTGTGGCCTGGTTGGCACTAACGGGTGGTGTGCTCTCTTGTTGAGTACAAAGGTTGGGCCTTGCCAACTCAAAGTTCCCATAGGAACCAGGAAGACAACACTAACAGCTACCAAGCACCAGGAAATTTCTCTTTCAGATATCAGGTTACAAGATAGTACACACACAAATGACGATACATTAGACACAGATACCTAGCTCTAAGAGCTACTAAATCACCAGGAAATTATCTTTCAGCTTTCAGGTCCCATCGAAGTCACCCACCACAGAGCTAGGGATTCCAATTCGCTCATCCTGACTACAAGGACACACTGATAATGAGTAGTCCTGGCACTTCTCCCTCCAGTAACCACTTTTCAGGTCTTTTCAGTTAAGACAGCTAATGCGTAAGGGCTGACACACGCTAGACACAGGCTCGTGATAAGACAGAATTAGGGATTTAAACTCTGACTACGAGGACACACTGATAGCGAGAATTCCTGGCACTTCTTCCTCCAGTAACCACTTTTCAGGGGACCGGGTTAGCTTTGCCACACTCTTCATTGAAGTGTGACTGGACGCTCTACAATCATCTAGTAGCAGCAGAGTTTGACTGACACCCTTACTGGTTCTATTCAGTTTCTACAGCGGAAGATCTCAACACTCGAAAACAGTTCATCTCGGACATCCTGCAGAGCTGCTTTTTCACAGCCTGCCCCATTACACGGGGAACCCTTAGATCTACAGTACCCTGGTGGCGAGCATAGCTCACTAAAGCATAGTGGACCTCTTTAGTTCTGAGACGCAAAGCTAACCGGATCAGGAATAAACATCAATGCAATGCTTAGGGGATGCAAATAGAACATACAATGTTTATCGAATGCATTACTCAATCTTTTGATTCATTTTTTAGCTCGACGTTACATGGTAACATTTCAGGACTGACATTCCTCCTTCAGGTTAATTGAGGAAATCATACCCGCTATTTGCGTTATACATGGCAAGTATCTGGACTTAAGATAACTTAGGATCTCCATCAATCATAAATTCCTCTCAGATTCCCAGGCTGCATTTAAAGCGCTTAACAGCACCAGTTTTAACTCCAGGTTCGTTCTGAACATCTCAGACCAACTCACTAGGTATTCACATCGAGTAGGACTTCGTTCCAGGACATTAAGGAGTATACGGTAAAGAACTAGCGGAAGAATTCGCAAGGGACGATCAATCCAACAACATCCCCATAGGACCAGAACCCTTCCTCCCAAATAGGCCACACTCAGTGACAAAGGAACATTCCACTTGTGATGTTCCTCTACAAATTAAGTACAGGAACTTTTAATTTTCTGGAACTCACATCAGATGGCTAACATGGTCGCTTTCAGAATAGGTCACAGCCCACTAGTTTATTTTCAGAACGTGGCAAACAACGTCAACTTCAAGACGCAAGATTGCGAACACTTTTCAGGAGAAGCAGCAACATCCCAGCACCTCCTCTACAAGTGCATCCAGATCATGACGTTCAGAATGAGGATAATTGGTAAACTCTACCTTAACAACAGTAAACTACATCATATCTTCAAATTTGTGGAACAGTCGACAAGACTGGATAGGGAAAACCCTTTTGGGTAACCTCCTTGGATTCTTCACCAGGAACTTTCGCTAAATCCCATACTAGGAACTCAACCTAGGCCCATCTCCGCATAGAGACATATCTCCCAGGCTTTGACCTTGCTCGGAAGTCCCTTGTCTACCCGCAGAAGTACTACAACGGAAGTGGGTTTGCTCTGAGACAGGTAGTGACAGCTTCAAGACTCCAGGGGTCTGTTGCATTGATATTTATTATTTTATGATTTCGTATATACTTTGGGAGTCCTGGCGTGCAGCTAGCAGGAGTTGCATTCTGTGGGCACGGTGAGAAGGCCTCCATCTTAACGTAAGAGGCCAGAAACCGTTGACCAGAACAGAGAGAGAGAGAGAGTAATTAGAATATGAATTGTGGCTGTTGGAATACTCCGAAGTAAAATAAGTGTGAGATAAAAAAAGCTTGTGTGGAGTGGAAACTAACCGTGAAATCAGCTTTTTGAAGATCCCAAACTTGCTCATACGTTCCATAAACGAAGGGATACACAAATTTGCACGATGCAAGTTGAGGTGGTTCGTAGGCGCCAGTGCGCTTTGAGCAAAATGATTCCTCCTTGACGTAATCGGTGCCTGAAAAGTAAGGTATTTAGAGATAATGAAGAACAATGACCAATCACAACTGCACCCTGCCCTCCAACATTCAAAATTTGTGTCGCAGACAACAAAATTTTGGCCTCTCATATATGAAGTTATTAGGCAAGGTTAACATTACAAATGATTAGCCACTGGGTTATGACCACAGTTTCTATAAGTCTTTCTTACCATCTATTATGTATTTCCCGTGGACATTATCATCAGGACAAATAACTTTAGCTGTTCGGTCCCCTTCGTTATCTGTGTACTCAATTGACATTCCCGGTACTGAGGGAAATAGTTTAGATGCCATCAGTTATGAAAAAAGTAGCCTCGATCGCGATAATATAAGATGTAATTATTTTTAACTCTGTCAGTATCATATTCTCATGCTGTTATTGAATGATTAAGAGTGAAATTGAATTTTAATCGGAAATATTATTATAATAATATTTCCGATTAAAATTCAATTTCACTCTTAATCATTCAATAACACTATAGTGTTAAGTTAATGATTACCTTATCGGTCATGATTATCACGGACATTGCTTTCACGTTGAAGACTTTAACATGAATAATTATGTCAGTGAAAATAATGTCTGTGGCATTAAGGTCCGTGAATAATAAAGTCCGGAAATTATTTCCATTAATTTTAGTGTGTGTGTGTCCCTACATATGCGTAGATAATGATATGTGTGTAGCCGATCACTATATTAGCTTATTAGTATACGAGGACAAATATAATCACTCCTCAGTCACATTCTAGAGTTCAGAAAAAGAGTAAAACACTTAATAAATCACCAAACATTTTCACAATTTTTTGGAAATGGGCGGTCATGATCGTAAATAATTATGGCCGTGAAAAATATGGTTCGTGAAAAATTTGTCCGTGATAATTACGACCGATAAGGTACATTCTTACATGTGTCGAAGGACGATATCGGAGCTTTGGTGCAATCGTAGTATGATTTCACTAGTAACGATTTACTTACGTTAAATGAGTAATCTTCAAGTTCCAATCTGACCTAACCGAATAAAGGTGTCTATCAGAACAAATGTATTTGTACATGATTCAATTTTAAAGCACGGCTATATCAATTCGACTAACAATCTTGATTTGTTACTAGGGCATCTGAGAATTACAAAAATGCAAAGTTATTAGTGGAATAATATTGACCAATGAGTACTAAAAAATACAATAAAGTTACATCAAGAACTTACCTGGCAAGTGAGATTGGCCCCATCTAATACAACATATTCTGCGTTCACTGTGAAATCTTCGCGGTAATTCTCCCCGTCCCCGTCATACACTTTAGTGTAGAAATGATAGAATTTGCCCTCTGAATTGTTTAACAATTCGATCTCCTTTTTGGAATCAGGAGGCCCATAAGCCAAGCATACAAGATCAAAATCCTCGCCCACAACGATGGTGTCATCAGAGACAACCAAGAAAGACTTGATGTGCATCACTTTAACTTCAAATTCCTCTGATGATACCTTTCCTCCCTGAAATTTTCGCCCAGCATTGCTGTGATAGTCGACGTTACATTTTACATCGTATTTATTGTGTCCAATCTGTATTGGGCCAAGAGTTAGAGCACTCATAAGTCTGTCGCCATACGTTTTCGAACTCTTGATCGTAAATCTGGGTATCATTTGGTTATCTATTGCATTTTAATGAAGGAAAAATTGCAATAAAAAATAGGTTCAAATATAATACATACATGTATGTGTATATTGTATGTACTCTGTACATATAAGATTTGGGATTATATCATATGGTGTCAACTGTGACTGTTATTTCTTATTTATAGTAACAATTGTTAGCTATAGACTCGGTAATTAAGATTAAGATTTATTTCTGGTAGTATTAATATCGGTTTATCATATAATTTCATCGTGACATTTTCAATTCCATCACTAGATATTAGCAGTAACAAAACCGTTTAAATCACTGGACTCACTCGATATCATCGCTGTCCACAATTTTAACCCACTCAGATGATTTTTCTGTACGTAGCATCCATTCAAAATCAGGGATAGGATCCACCCATAAACCTGAAGGTAGCTGCACATCAGCTATACACTTAAGCTCCAGATACACCTTTTCAGCAACCCATCCATCAGATCTCTTTTTTCCGACCCCTTTATCGGTGATATCGACTAACATGACAGTCACAAGATTTGGGTTGGATTTAAGAATGATTGCATCACCATCCCACTGAACAGCACAATTAATAAAAGAGCTAGCTGTGAGCTGACTGAGGTCAAAATTCCCAACTGTGGTAACTCTTTGTTGATCATCATGGGATTCTGTTACCACCACTGTTACATCACGTGAATTTTCTGTAACTGCATCTGTAATTGAAAATGTTATGGCAGCAACTTTGTCACCTACTGCGGAGCACATGAACATTGCAGGGAATCCAGAGGACATGGAGAATGCTTCTGTAGTATCTGATATTAATCGCACTGCCAGTGTTATTTCTCCAGAACTAATGACAACTCCATTTTCCCAGGTTACGGAACAAGAGTACTTTCCGTCGGCTCCTGCATCTACCTGGATGTTAAGGACTTTGTTTACAGTTTGATTGATGACGTGACTGGTTACATAGTGAGTACTCACGTTACTATCATCGAGGGAAACATTTTGTGCATATTTCTACCTAATAAAGTAAAACTCCGATTTACCACGCAACGCCCCGATTTACCGCAAACCTCGATTTACCACGGCTATTTCCTTTCTCCCAAACTCCGCGGTAAATCGGGGTATTACTGTAATACTTGTTATAATTAACTGATAATAATAATTTGTATCTTACCTTGGTTATCTTAAAAATAGTTTCGATGACTGCATCTCCATCAGCAAGATCAGTTTGTTTGGTGTCAATTGTGTACCAGGTTTGATCCACCATACTCTGTGAAAGTTGGACCAGTAAACAATGTGTACTAATTCAAGGTGGTCAACAGTTTAAGAATGATACTTACTTTGGCCAAACAATGACAGCTATGAACACAAAAATAAATGGGCATAGATCAAATTTTTTAATTGAAAATCGTCTTTTCGTTTCATTCATAAATATTGTACAAACATTTGTGGGCTCAATAAGATAGTTTGATAATGATTTTTAAATTTTATATCCATTGTATACACGATTTTGACCATGATTTATTTCGGAATTTATTTGTTTCAGGGATAATGATATAGGTAATCTTTACTTACAGTTTGAGCTCTACCTGTATGAAATTGAATTACAAAATTCGAAATCGATACAAATTAGGTTGTGATTTGGAAGTAAATGAAAGTTAAGGGTGAAGAAGTTTTTCCACTCTTACTTGTATATTAAATTCCCACGATACAGTGTACTTAGTCACCACATCACTGTCTGGGAACTGACACACAAGCTCGTGAGACTCATCCTCATAAGTATGTTCATTATCGGCAGGAGCCTTTGTAGTTTTAGCAGGAAACACTCGAAGAAGAATACTGTTGGAATTGAAATTTGTCTCGTCCGATGTCATCCCTTGACACTTAAATTGATTATCCACCGGGTCATTGTTATCGTTGTTCGTTATCAGTGATATTTTCATCTTTTCGATGAGTTCATCATTTGATTCCACTTTCGTTTTGGATACCTCTTCGTAGACTGTTAACTTTTCGTCGTTTTGAAACCTTACAAACCGTTACAATTATTTCAATGAGATTTGATTTAAATCTTATGATTATAGACATCTAATTCATTGTGGCTATTACTCAAAGAAACTTAGTCTTAGGGAGAATTTGATTAAGCCGGTAACAGAGTACATTCATATAGTATTGTAACTGACCAATTAATCGATTTCGCTCCACCGGCAATATCACACTCCAATGTTAGCTTGAAACCGGAGACAAGCCGTGTTACTGGAGACGAATTGAGTAACAGTTGTAATGTAGCCTCTGAAGAATAGCTGCATTATTTGATGATATTCATTAAATGAGAATGATATAATTATAAACTTACTGCGAGCAGCAAGGTGTATTGTCTTTTTAATGTTTTTTAATATTGCAACTACATATTCAACTTTAATACTATTCATCACAATGCTGGCAAGCATTACCGTCGCCCTTATATTCACAATACTATTTACCCCCTATACTATTATATCCCCTTTATTGTTTTCCAGGCATTAAGACTTTTTCGAAAGTAGTTCAGCAGGTACATTTAAGTTCAAAACATTCTAATTCAATGTTTAAGATGACAGGAATAAGAAATAGTTATATGAAGGTTTTTAAGAAATTTGCGCAAAATACGCGCCAGCATGTTATACGAAATTAGGTAAAAAACCCAAAATCGCCATATTCAGGTGCCTTAAAAACCATGTTAAAATTGAGTTAGAGATCTGAAACTTTGCAGGGCGTCTAGACCTTGTCCAAGTCGACAGTAAAAAAAATTTCATGTTTCAGGAGTATCGGGAAGTGGGTTTTCTGGAACCCCTGTTTTACAACAGATTGTCGTGAAGATATATATGTATAGACGCTTTTTGCAGTCAATTGTAGCCTACATTTAAGTGTCCGTAGATTCAAAAGTATAAAAGATACAGTCATTTCGAACCACAGGTTTTAAAGATAATCGTTTATACTTTAGTTTACTTTATATTGAAAAATAATTTATCATCATCATCATCACTTGATGACGTCATCAATTTAAGTGATTTTAAAACTTGATTTTTGACAAAACAACAACTTTTCAAATCGATTTTACACCATTAAAGAGTAATTTTATTCAAAATCTGAGGATATTTTCACCTTAGATAATTGTTCAAGCATTCTAAAAATCTACCGGAAAAGTTTCCTACCTTACTCCTTCATAAAGATATTTGCTATTGAAGTTAGTGCTTTTTTGAAGAATAATTTTATAAAAACACAAAAGTTGTGAATTAGTATTCTCTGGTGTTTGGCTATCCCTTGGGTTGTGGAGCTCAATTGTGCTTCTTAAAGGTGTAAATTGTGTTATAGGCTAGTTTTAAAGTTAAAAATCGAAAAGTTGCACACGTGGGGACACGCCCAAATTGATTTAAAATAGCTAAAATCACTAAAAATTTTGATTTTCACGATTTTTATCAACTTTGGAGTCCCGTTGTGATCCAAGTTCTTTTTGAAATCTTCTGAAACTTTGCATGCTTATCAAACTATATATTAAATACCACTATGCAAAAATGTACGGTGATTCAATATTGTATGCGCACGCAACGTCCGCTCAAAGTTTGCACGTGCGAAAGGTGAGAATTTTGCTCATTCGTGATTTCGAATATATTCTGCTTTCCACGATATTTAAATGGCATTATATATGAATTTAATGCCAACTTGAATGAGTAAAAAGTGCCATATTCAGTCGGTTATCGACAGATATACCTAACTAAACACAAGGAAACGTTTTCAAAGGCAGAATTTCGAAATCGTCGAAATTACCTCCTTGTTAATGAAGTTTCGACTAGCTGTGTAAATTATTCTGACATTATAATCAAAAAGAGATGATATTTGACCAAAACCCATAATCATGGGTAGAGTGTACCGCTGCCAGTGTCTCTCTTTTCCAAACAAAAGGAAATGATATTAATTTGAGGAACAGTCCGCTAATGCAAATTGATACCGAGAATGAAATCGGTCGCTCGCTTTTTCCATTCGATCACGGCTCACGAATTGTAATAAAGCTTATTGATTTGAAAAAGCGAGCGACCGATTTCATTCTCGGTATCAATTTGCATTAGCGGACTGTTCCTCAAATTAATATCATTTCCTTTTGTTTGATAAAGAGAGACACTGGCAGCGGTACACTCTACCCATGATTATGGGTTTTGGTCAAATTTACAATCGAATTATACATCGACGAAACTTTTTATACAATTGCAAAGTTAGAAATGTATGCTGCTAACCGTACCCCACACTTCCCGCGATTACCCGTTGCAAATGATAGAGATGCTATAATTGATTAAAAATAAATGTTACATTAAATGTAATGATAAATAACATAATACTAGAAAATAGAAACCTTGGTCTGAGTCATCACAAGTTGCTTCCCGCACAAGAAAGAAGCCTAACCAAGGCAATATTGTAGATAATAACCGTATCATCTGCACAGCTATCTGCAGTAGCACTTTACTTTGGACTGTACTTCTAAAAGAAGAAAAAATGTAACCCCTTTTGGGATAAATAAATTGATTACTGAAACAAATTTAAACGGCAAATTGATGGTATACGAAGGTGATTGAAAGATATAATAGGGTCTATCAAATCCCTTGGGCCTAACATCAACAGTTCCAAAACGTACGCAAAAAAAAGCAAAACATCAGAATCCATGCTCGCTTAGTTGATCCTGCTAAATGTTCAAATAGTAGAGTAAATTACAATTTTCGAGAATGAGTTTAGTACTGAGCCAGACGGAAGGAAGCTCGGAACACCAACAAAGACTAGCATGAAGCAAATTCTGTACATGTGATCAATGACAATAAGATCACACGCGACGGTTGCCATGGAATAATTGTTTTTGTGTGTGATCAATACAGTTGTAAGAAAGGTGGTACACGGTCCATGAAATTCCGCCGAACAAAGTGAGTTGAAACCTGATGCCTTGCCATCTGGAGACACCAATTTAATTAGCCATCTGGAGACCCTAGCAAACTCCGATATTCTGGATCAGGAGTAAAGTCGGAGTTAGAAACTAAAGTCGGAGTTAGAAACTAAAGTCGGAGTTAGAAACTAAAGTCGGAGTTAGAAACTGATCCGAGTCATCAATACACATTACACCCGTTATAGTGCTAAGGATGACAAAATCACAAAAACATGCATTACATGTTGCTTTAATAAATTGTTGTATGTATTTTTGATAGGTTTTCTCAAAAATCGAATTGGAGAAACCAAAATTTATCCTAATTTGTTTAGACTGGTCTACGTTTAATGTTTCTTAATCTAAAGTTATAACACACATAACCCCGGCATGCGCAGGGATTATATTTCAATTTTTCCCGCGACGCGCGGGAAAAGTTTATAATAATTTCGAGTGCGAAGCACGAGGGATTATTATGAAAATAACCCCGACGTGCTTTAGCACGAGGGGTTATTTTAATATAACTTAAGCGTGCCGGTGTTATGTGTTATAAACCCCTCCGGGTTAGTGCTAGGACCAACAAATTTGACATTTTACTCTTAAATATAGCTATATGAGATCATTATGGAAAATATGAAATGGAATTGGGGACTACCAAATAAATACAACTAAGGTACTATGACTTTTGAAATTGGCGTTATATCTAAACATTATTCCTCAGTCAGAACGTTGAATGAATATGAATATCGATAAGGGGCGTCGAGTTAAGCCTGGCAAGCGATAAAAGCTAATAATGATATCGTGTCATGAAGTTTATCAAAGTAGACGACTATAATACATGGCTTATATCAAACACGACAAAATTAACCGAACCGGACAAAATCAAATGTAACCGTCGAGACAAGTTTTGGAACTGGTCCAATTAATGTAAGAGTTTAAGTAATGTAAGCAGTGTGCTGGAGTTTTGCCAGCGCCTGCAATTAGACCGATACGTAGATCGAGTGTATTTATAGTTCTTACGTTAAGCCATAGGTCACGTGACATTTTTTACCAATGCGCGTCGTAGTAGTTAGTCACGTGATACACGTCATCAAAACACGTGACAGTACGCGGTTGAAATTCTCATGGAATGTCAAAACAAAACAAATCTTGTTGAGCCAAATTAGCGGGGCGGGATTATAAAAGCTGTGCCGGGTTATTTATTCAGCGGGAAAAAACTAACAGCGGGAGCCGGGATTATCAGAATCTATTTAGCGGGAGCCGGGATTATCAGAATCTTATTCTATCCCGGAGGGGTTTATAAAAATACAAAGTCATTGTTAATGTTAATAATATTGTCTGTGTGTATTCCTGGTAATACCTTATTGGACCTTATTTGGACGGACATTACATGAACGGACATAATTATGAACGGACATTAATATGAACGCTCGAAGGCATTCAAAATCATCAAAAATCCGAATTTTTTCATTTTTTTGACGTTTTTTTAATTTCAGCAAATGATTTTTAAATCCATTTTTATACAGTAAGTAAGAAAAGCTGTCATTAAGCAGTAAAAATGTTAAAATATGTGTACATGATCAGTGTCTAATATCACATATCATCTTCATCAAATGGGTTTTCGTGCATGAAATAGTCCATGCTTAAACAAGCATCAGTGATTTCTAGCTTTATGGAAACCTTTTTTATCAAACTACCCCGGTCCTGCATTTCAGTGTTAACTTTTACAAGCCATTCGGCGTGATGTGGTTTTATCTTGACAACTTTAGGTTAACCTTAACATCACGTGGAGCTTTCCTAGCACTGTTTCATTACCTATCCTCAGTAATATGAACTATAACAACGTCGGACAATGTCCTTGGCAACACGATTTACCGTAATATCTAGAGGCTGGAACAAGTTTGTCATGTTGGCGGGGACTAGCTCATGAACTATGTTGTTGAGTGCCATAATTTCGTTGACTTTTTCCGCCAAGTGACCCTTGAAAACATCATATACTAGTAGAGTTTTCTGTGCCTCCGGCAGACCAAGGAGAACCTTTCCGTCGTTAACTTACGGCACAATAAAGTTTTCATAGTTGTCATATTCTGGACAAAAAGTTCGAAATGGAAAAAATTTTGAAAAAATTTCAACGGACTTTAACTTGGACGGACATTAATTGAACGGACTTTATTTGAACGGACATTAAGATGAACGCTAGGGCCTCCAGCGTCCATGTAATGTCCGTCCAAATAATGTCCGATAAGGTAAACTATATTATTGGATCAATGAAATACGAGTTATTATACAATTTAGATATTTTAAGTATCACATTATGGCATGATCACTTTCTTGATCTTCGGCTTCCTCGTTCAATTCTTCGGAGTTATTATTTACCTCCACATCTTTTAACAGTTTACACTGAAATGCAGGACCGAGATGGTCGAATAAAAAATTGTTTTTAAAAATCAGGTATTACTGATATAATGCTTTTTTAAACACGGAATATTTAATGCACGATAACCCATTTGAGGAAGATGACCTGTGATATGATCATCAAACCTGTCATATTTAGTATCAGTTGTTTTTACAAAACTTTCATAATCATAGATATTTTGACATTTTCAAATAAGGTCCGATAAGGTATTCGTTTATCACATGCCTTTTCATGCGATATCAAAACTTTCGCCGACGAGGCTTGCCAAGTTATCAAAAGTTTCGATAACTTGCCGAGGGTTATTATATCGACATTTTCAATTTTCAAACACGAGGCTTGCCGAGTTTTGAAAATGTTGATATCGCATGAGAAGGCATGTGATTAAATTTAATGTTTTAATACACTTTCTTTGGAGCCAAATTTTGCCCGGAAAGCAGAATTTGACTAGACGTTGGTTATGAATCCCACCAAAGCAAAACTAGACATGTCGAACTTAATTATGTTTATAATGTCCAAACTATGAATAGCTCTCATTAGGTTAGTATTTCGGAACTGGAAGTGGAAGGAAGGCACACAACCATTATGGTGACTTGGCTGCCACTCAGGGGCGCGAACTCCTCACGTCGCTCATGAGGAAGGCTTAAAGTCTAAACAGGAATACATCATCGTTCATGACAGGCAGTGTTGAGACCTACCTTCCTTGAACTCAAAAGTGCTGGCAAAGCTTCTTAAATTACGATCATGCTTTGTTGCCTACTTTTGTTTGAGAAGCTCAATTAATACTCGCGGTAGATTACTGGCGTCCGGTCGTATTGTTTATACTTGTAGATTTAATGACACCCACTATCGGCACCTGCTATTGTTTGGCATCCATCATTGTTTATACTTGCCCCTGTTAAATAACTGCAGACCAGAAGAGACTTGAGGAATCAAGGGACAGCAGTCTTCACGCCAAAAGTCTTCGCACCAAACAATGAGCTGACAAATTCCTGAGATACCAACAGTTGAGCTATAAGAACAGTAAACATTGATCAATAGATATTTTGAAATCTTTAATTACTGCTTAATAGCTGCCTTTCTTGCTCATTGTATGAAAAATTAATTTACAAATTATCTGCTAAAATTTTAAAAACGCAAAAAAAAGATGACAAAATTTGGATATTTGACGGTTTTGAAATTTGAATGCCTTTGAGCATGGGTAGTTATCGCATGGGTAGTTATCACATGGGTAAATTACATTATATTAGCGTAAACGAGAATGAGAGAACAACTATTACATAATGGACATTTATTACATAATCATGGGAGAATAATATTTCTTAATTGATTTAGTTTTACTTTGCAGCTCAGTCATCAGTACTTAATTTTAATCAGGGCTTGAAACTGGCTGGAGGGGGTTCGTAATCCCCCAGTACAGCAAACCTGTGCTTCATTTGTTAATGTTCTAAAAATGTATGTAAGTTGTTAATGATAATAATAATATAACGAACCGCTTTGATTTTATTTTCCAGATCCAAGTACCCAATTATAGATCTCAAAACTGAGTTGCATAATCGATTTTTGCAGTCTGACCATGTCTAACTCAAATTTTGAATTACAACCATTACATTGCTGTTCACTTTTTAAGCTATAATTTTACGTTTTGTCCATTTTTGTCATTTTAACGTTGCAGAATCTTGTACCAGGAAATATGGTATTGGAGGTGGACCCAATTCGGAAGAATCAGAGGAGTGTTAATGATCTTATTGAGGAGTTAGTTGAGCACCGGACATGGAAATATACACTTATGGTCTTGTATATTTCCATCGCTCAGGTTTACGCCGCTACCAGTTCCTTCGTTACTACATTCGCAGGTACTGAAATTACTCTCATTACAATTTTAAAATCATACTGAATATTATCTAAATAAGCTATCTACTTAAATACCTTATCGGACCTTATTTGGACGGACATTACATGAACGGACACAATTATGAACGGACATTAATATGAACGCTCGAAGGCATTCAAAACCATAAAAAATCCGAATTTTGTTCAATATTTTTTGACGTTTTTTAAATTTCAGCAAATGATTTTTAAATCCATTTTTTATACAGTAAGTAAGAAAAGCAGTCATTAAAGCATTAAGCAGTAAAAATGTTTAAATATGTGTAC